TGCTATCCTACAATCTACCGACCCTCTACCGCTACCGACAGAGGACATTATGGATTTACTAAACTTTTGCCTGATGTCAACTTACTTTCAGTACAACGGCAAACACTACAAACAGTTACACGGTACAGCTATAGGGTCTCCAGTTTCTGTTGTTGTAGCAGAAATTGTGATGCAGAACATCAAGGAAAGCGCCCTTTCGACTTGCCCACAGACAATACCACTCTGGTTACGCTACGTTGATGATACTTTCGTTGCCGTGCGACACAACGAAATCAACGCATTCCACCTTAACCACCACCTTAACTAACAAAACACTGACATACAGTTTACTGGAAAGGTCGAAGAAAATGGTGAACTACCTTTTCTAGACTGCTTGATAAGCCGTGACGACAATTCACTACGCACAACAGTTTACAGGAAACCGACACATACCGACAGATTACTGGACGAGTCATCCTACAACCCGACATCACCCAAAGCCACTACTATCAGGACTCTTACCCGACGAGCACAATTAGTATGTAATACGACAGACAGCTTATCCGATGAGAACAAGTTCCTTAACTGTGTTTTTTTAAAGAACAACTACAACGAAGACTTCATCCAACTTAACACTCACAGCCCTACTACTACTACCAAAGCTAACGACAACGCAACTCCTATGACCACAGCCACTATACCATACATAAAGGGCATATCTCACGCATCCTACAACCATTCAATATCCGCGTCGCTCAAAAACCTATTACCACAGTATGTCAGTTACTGACTAACATCAAAGACGGAGACGAACCGAGGAACAGACAAGGAGCAGTATATAAGATCAATTGCTCTGACTGCCATGCCTCCTACATCAGTGAGACTGGCAGAAACCTCGCAAGTAGACTGACCGAACACAAACAAGCGACGAGGAAAGGCGATGTCAACAATCACATTGCTGAACATCACCGACTTACGAACCACACTATTGGCTGGGACTCTGCACAATGCCTAACCTACAGCACTAACTACTTTCAATGACTGACCCTGGAAAGCTGGTTTACTAACTTGGAACAGACTCCCCTCAACAGGTGTCAACCACTACCGGCACCATACAAACAACTCATCCACGACATTAACATTACAAATGAACCGAACAGAAAGACCTAACTTCACTAACAGATCCAAACCGACCAATCACGACTGATCTAGCCACTTGAGCCTTACAGCCAATAACAGCATGGCAAAACTGACCAATCAGTGTACACAAACCGGACTAAGTACATTCGACTGACAACAACCTCTCACTTGACTCTGATGATGACTTCCGTTCAAGTTGTCGAAATGTCAGTCACCACTACCAACAACAGTCCTTCTCAGGACTACACTCACCCGGACGATCATACTACACTATTACATGAGATCTTAGCGTAGTCTCCGACTTGAAAACAGCGGGTATGCCTTGTTGTTGTAGGCAACAGTGAAGCTGTTCGGACAGACCTTTGAAAT